GACGTTCTTGAGGACAGACACGAGGAGCTAGAGTGCCTTGCTGCCGCTTCACCCCTTCACGCGACCATGCTGCTTGCCTCTGAGGGAGATCCGGATGCACTTGACATCCCCACCCCGCGCTCCTACAGGGAGGCGATTTCGGGTGAGTACTCCTCTCAGTGGCAGACAGCCATGGACGCAGAGATGGCTTCCTGGAAGTCCACAGGCACCTACATCGAAGAGGTTCCCCCACCTGGGGCGAACATCATCACTGGCATGTGGATCTTCAGGGTGAAGCGGCCGCCGGGTTCTCCGCCTGCCTTCAAGGCACGTTACATTGCTCGAGGCTTCAGTCAGCGTGAGGGGGTCGACTTCTTTCAGACCTTCTCCCCCACCCCGAAGATGACCACTCTTCGGGTGTTGCTACACGTTGCAGCTCAGCGTGACAACGAGTTGCACTCTCTCGACTTCTCGACAGCTTTCTTACAGGGTAGCCTTCACGAGGCCATCTGGTTGCGCCGTCCACCGGGCTTCACTGGGTCGTTTCCTGAGGGTACCCAGTGGAGCCTACGGCGACCAGTGTACCGCCTGCGTCAGGCGCCCCGCGAGTGGCACGACACACTGAGGACGACACTTGCGGCTCTTTGGTTTGCACCTTCGACTGCTGACCCGTCGCTGTTTCTACGCACCGACACTTCTCTGCCGCCGTTCTACATCCTCGTGTATGTTGACGACTTGGTTTTTGCTACTGCTGACACTGAGGCATTGGCCCTAGTGAAGGCGGAGCTGCAGGAGAGACACACCGGCACTGACCTGGGTGAGCTGCGGAGCTATCTTGGCTTGCAGATCACCCGGAACAGAGCACGGCGCACCATCACCCTGACTCAGTCACACATGGTGCACCAGGTCCTTCAGCGCTTCGGCTTCCAGTTCTCCTCGCCACAGCCCACTCCTCTGTCTACCGGCCACTCGCTCTCAGCTCCACCTTCGGACGAGTCCGTAGAGCCGAGTGGTCCGTACCCAGAGCTTGTGGGTTGCCTCATGTACCTGATGACGTGCACTCGACCTGACCTCGCGTACCCTCTCAGCCTTCTGGCTCGCTACGTGGCACCTGGTAGACACCGAAAGGTGCACTGGTATGCTGCGAAGAGGGTATTGCGTTACTTGTGGAGTACATCGGGCATGGGGCTCGTGCTTGGAGGACAGGGTTCAGTGGTACTCACAGGACACTCTGACGCTTCTTGGGCCGACGACCAGGCGACTCAGCGTTCGTCACAGGGTTACACCTCCAGTCTTGGCTCTGGTTCTATCTCGTGGAGGTCCACTCGTTCTTCTTCTGTGCTTGGCTCCAGCTGTGAGGCCGAGATCTACGCTGGGGCCATGGCTGCACAGGAGCTACGCTGGCTGACCTACCTGCTGACCGACTTGGGGGAGCGGCCTCGTTCTCCTCCAGTTCTGTACGTCGACAACAAGGCAATGCTTGCCTTGTCTCGCGAGCAGAGACTGGAGCACAGAACGAAGCACATTGCTCTTCGCTACTTCCTTGCGCGTGAGCTGCAACAGCGTGGTCAGCTGCGCCTTGCTTACGTGGCCTCTCGGGCCAACAGTGCTGATGTCTTGACCAAGGCCCTTGGGTCTGGTGATCATCAGCGTTTCAGCACTGCTCTTGGGCTTGTGCCCACTCTACCTCACCTACTGGTTGCTTGACTTGCTGTTGTTGTACACTGCTATATATCTTTATACCTGCATGTTTACTCTTGCTAGGTTGTGATCAGTGTACTACCTTGCTATTATAACTCTGCATGTGAACTGGCCTTGTGGCCGCCTGCTTGTGCTCAGATTGTGTGGTGTCCTTGAGATCCACCCTGAGCTTTGCCTTGCTTGTTCTCTTGCTTGTCTGGTCTTGTGACCACTGTTAGGTTTGGCTATCCCCTCCTTCACCTATGGGGGTGTGTCAAAACATATATTGTTTTGTTCATTTCACTCTAGGTTGTGTAGGGTTCTTTCCTTAGAGGGTATAACATTTCACTCTCGATAGTCTTGTATCCCCTCCCTTACCTAATCGACATCCTCACCTAGCTAGTAATTCTAACAAGGTCAAACCCTAGGCTCCTAAACTATTATGTTTGACAGGATGCCGGTCTGAGAGAAGATCGTAGGCCCTGAATATCAAATGTTACGAGTGCAATTGAGCGAGAGAGCGAGAATTGCACTATCGAAGCAAAACAGTACTATGAGCGAAGGAATGAGCGATGACTAAATAGCGAATGCCACAGTGGTAACGGTAACGAACCGTGGCTGACGCGCGACGGGCCTGTGACTGGGGTCGGGAAAGTGTCAAGGCGAAGGCCCGGAGCGCGGGTTACCAGCCGAGCCGGGAGGCTGGGTTGCGATGTGCGAGGTGGCGGGAGGATTGCCGAAGCGAGGGTCGCGAGTGGTAATGGCGCTGACTGTGGTGCTACAGTGATGTACGCGCCAAGCAAGGATGTGGCATAAGGAAATGGAAATTTCCTTAGACCATGACTGTATAACTATATTTGTCTTCAACATACATTCCCAGAGCCTCTGGATAAAATACTCGTTACAATTTATTCAGAACGTCAGTGTATCATATCTCACACAAATCAAGGTCCCTGCAACAAAGAGTTAGCTTACTATTTACTAATATGTATTTCTAGTCAAAGACCACCGTAGCTTGTGCAAGTAAATGCCATCTCCGGGCCCATTGTAACGAATCATTTACATATGCGTCATTGTGTTTCATTGTGGCAGCCGCTCGATGAGGTGGCATGGTAGATGCAAAGCCCATCATGTGGAGCTTACGTCAAAGCACCGCACGTGGAGAAGAATGATTAGAATATCTCCAATTGGAAATTGCATTTCAGCAAGTCATATCGCCTCGATGTGCCAAATTGGATTCAGCTAAGCAGTGCGTGCCACCTGTAGGTACTGACGGTGAAGATTAGCTTATTGGGGATTTGCTAGGATTTCCCCTTTATGGGAGGGGCAGGTTTGTTGAAGTTCAGAATGCTCAAGTTTGGGCAACAGATAATTCGCTTCCTGTCAGTTATTGCGATTTAGGGCGGGTCCGAAGTGAAGTCGACATCCGTTGTCATCCGATGTCGGTAAATCCTGACGGTTGGAACTCTTGATCCGAGGGTTTACATTTACCGACATCCATCGACATCCATTCGACGCTTCACTTCGGACACGCTCTTAGTTAGATGGTGTGCGAGTTTTAGCGGTACGATGATTCACCGTTTTCAACCGCTGCTCGCCACCAGCCTCATGAATTGCTAGCGCATGAAGCGACCCGACCTACTGTACAGCATTCTTTTGTGGGCTGTCATTGGGACAAAATCTGTAAATTCGGCAAGTGACGTGTTCTGTTGAATGGTTGCGTGTTCAGGTGGGTCTGTGATTCTGATATGGTTTGCCCACTGCTGACGCTCACGGTGGTTATCCACACCCCAATTGTGACAGAGGCTGCCAATGTGGCTGCCGGCCCTCGTGGATGTCGAACCCATGGTGCAGTGTTGGCGAATTGCCACGCATATCAGCCTCCCGCTTATCTGTCAGGTCCACGTGAGCTGAGAGGGTCTCCCAGACCAGTGGTGCTTCTATTCCATGTGTCATACATCAATTCGCATTTGAGACCACGCTGACTAGGAGCGTCACCACCTTCCAAACATCATTGACCAATCGGCTGCCTTGGCGGGTGTTTCTGCATCCGGCCAGCCAAAACTCCTCCAAGCACTCAGCCACGTCATCTTCCCCCCCCTGACTGTTGGGGTTTCCTCCACAAATCACATCCGTCTCCCAGACAATCACACCGCACACCTGATTTTGCAAGCCTACAGCCTCGGCGATCGTCAATAACCACCTGCTTTCTGAAACCCTAAGCGGGTAGCCGTTCACCAAACCTCAAGGCGGCGGCATTCCCAGGGGCCAACACCCTAAAGTTCCCCCACCGAGCTCTCGGTGGCTGCGTTCAGATCAGATCGAAGACCCTTGTTCTGAAGATGAGTGAGCTGCACCCAAACCCACGGACCACGCAGTGCACACACACCCCCTAAGCTACCATCCTCCCTTTCGGCTACTGTAGACTCTCCCGAACCCCTCTACAATCCTCTGTAGCATTCAGAAAACCTGCGCAGTTCTCCGCACCGCATCCTCTCCTCACCAAGCCTTCCCTGTTTCTGCCTGATCACTTGCATCTCATCTTCCACCCAAACCAGTAGCCCAACCGACCCTTGCTTCCCACTCTCACTCAGCCTACATTTTACCAAACCCTTGCTCATTTTAGCCGTCATTTGTTGTCCTAGGTGTTGGGAAGCCGGGGTCGTTTGCGCTCTTTACAGCTATTCCAGCTCGCCTTGCTCTATGCAGATCGCGGTGCTCGCTTGTGAAGATGTCTTTCCGGACTGTGCTGCTGTCCACCGGTGCTTTGGATCTCTACCTTCTGCTGTCGCTTTCGGCGTCCCGTTACCGCGCACTAGTTTCTGCAATCAGATAATCGCCACTCAGGAGAGTCGGCGTCGTTTTAAAAGTAGTCTCCCCCGGCGTTGCGAGTTAAGGGAATTATTACTTCGAAGATCTGTCCAGGATCCCGAGTGTCGCTCTTATCTCAGACTGTACAAAGCGCGTTAATACTCTCCCTTGTGAATAGGTTCTCTCCCACGGGCGCGTCACTTGCGTGTCCTCCATTTTGCCGCTTATTAGGCCTTATTAAGTTCCTTCATTTTGAAGCCATGCTCGAGCACATGCTCTCCACGGCAGCCCTCATGCCGTCTCAATCCGTCGCTGGTGCAGATCCGGGAACTTCAAGATGGAAGCGATCCCGGAAACTTACCCCAAAGGCGCTTGCTCTTCACGCCAAGTCTATATCTCTTCACGCCAAGTCGCTTGGTCTGAAGAAACTGGTTCCGCATGCGAGCCAAGGCTCGCTGTTCTCCAATTCGTCCACTGTATACAGTAAAAAGATCTTACGGGATTCGTCCGGGAGAGTGTCCGGCATCGCGATGGGTATCCGACAGTCCATGAGCGTGGGTCTGCGCCACCACCGTCAGGTCGGTTCCACGGTGGTTACAGCAGTCGAGGCCGTATCGGGAGAGGGAATCAGCGCGGAAGTGTCGAGACTCGAAACGGCCGTTCAATCCGGGAAAGGTCAGTTGAGTCGATTGGGTGTGGGTGTGGGAGTGGGAGTGGGAGTGAACACGGGAGTGGAGGACGCGGCTGATTTTGTCTATGCGGAGCTGGACGCAGCGAGAGCGCTCGCCACCATCGGAACAGTGTGTCTGTGCTCGGGAGACTCTGGGGGTTCCCGAGAATTTGAAGATTCCGACGGGTCCGTGTCCGTGGAAAGGCAAGCGGCGAGCGAGACTGCGTTGAAGGAGACGTTTTCGAGCAGTTTAATCGGCGGGATTGAGCACGAACAGTTGAACGCGAGGAAGGCGGACGCGGAGAGCGTGTTTCAGAACGTACCACCGAGAATTGTGTTTCCGGATCCTGGCTCTGTCGTGAGCGTTGGTGATGGTTTCGATTATGATGCTGGTGCTGGTGTCGGTGCTGTTGGTGTGGTTGCTGGTGATGGTGATGGTGCTGGTGCTGGTCGTTTCAGCTCGTTGCGTGGGAAGCACGTGCGCGTTGCTGACGAGGGCGACAGGGTTTCCATGCGTGCAGTGCGGGACGCCACGCGGTGGCTCACCAAGAGGAAGAGGACGGCGAGCCGAGTCCGTCGCGCGCGCAACCTGCGGTCGAGGAACGACCTGGTGATTCGCCTCGTGCGGGACCTGTGCGATCGCAAGCTTGCGTCGGCGGCGGCTGCTGCTGCTGCTGCTGCTGCTGCTGTCGCCGCCTCGTCGGTGGAGGACCGCGGACGTGGTAGTTCGGCGCCCGCTGCTGGTGCTGGTTCTTACAGTCGTCGGCTTCGAGATGCGTCGGCTACAGAACACAAGGTGCGGAATTGTATTAATTCCATGTTTTTTTTAATTGATTTATGTATGTTCTCTTCTGGAACAGTCATCGTTCTGCGCTTGGAAAGCAATTCTGACACACCTTCCAGTAATATTCACCAGTGCAACTGAACGCGTAATTGAACAAGGCTGCATGACATATAGTTGCCTCTCAACTGCATGACCTATATTTATTTACAAAATATAACAATTTCCATATCTTTCCCAAGTTTTGTTGGCGCGTCTTATGTCTCCTCGCCTAACTTGAGTCGCGGTTCTTTCGGCCTGTTTCAGGAGTTCTCCCTGGGCGCGATGCTCGTGGTGGCACCCGTGGTGAGCGAGCACTTCTGCCTTCCAGAGGCTGGGGCGTGGAAGCAGCAGCTGCAGCAGCAGCAGCAGCAGCAGCAACAACAACAAGAGCAGCAGCAGCAGCATCTGTATCAGTTTCAGCATCGTCATCATCAGCAGCAGTCGCTGCTGTTATCTGGGCAACACGCGCCGGGCAGCGGCGGCAACGTCGTGAGCAACGTGCGCGTCTCCTCGTGGAGCGAGGGCCGCCGCTACGCGAAAGAGGCCGGAGAAGCTTCTACTCGTTACGCTGGTTTCCGTGGCTGGAGCGGCGCGAGCGGAGGAGGCGACGACGGCTCGAATGTGGTGGTGACTCTTGAGGTGGGGGCAGGTGGTGATTATGGTTGTGCCGGTAGCGCTGGTGGAACGGTGGTTGTGCCTGTCGGCCCAATGCGCGTTGCTCCAACGAATCCCGCCGCTGTTGTTTCTGCTGGCGCTGCTACTGCTGGTGACGATGACAGCGATGATGCTGACATGTCTCTTCACGCTGCTGCAACTGATGCTGCTACGGATGGTGCTACTATTGACGGTGATGCCGTCGGTACCGTCGTCTCTTACGCGGACGCTCAATTGCGGGCTCCGCTTTTTACCCAATTCGTCGATGAATCAACCGAGGCCGCTCGTGTCCCGCAAGCCGCCGGAGCGCCGGAATTGTTTTCCGCGCCGGACTTGTCTGCTGCGGAATTGTCTGCGGCGGAAGTATCTGAAGGGCTCGGAGTGTGCGTGTCGCCAACTGCGGACGCGCGTGCAACGAACGGAGGTTGCGCTGCGCTGCTGCGTGCCAAGGCGCGTGAGGTGGAAAGGGGTGAGGAGAGCGTGAGGACGGAGGAGGAGCAAGGGTTGGGTGAGCTCGCCGCGGGGCGGGGAGGGGGAGATGGATGGGTGGTGGACCAGGGGGAAGTGGTGATGGCTGATGAAGGGGACGCTGGATACGTTGGGAACGCTGGTGCGGATGGGGAGGAGGATGAGGACGAGGAGGAGAATAAGGAAATGGTGGAGAATCTGTTGCAGTTTAAGAGAAGCGCCTCGCGCGAGGCGCTGCCGTTGCTGGCAACTGCAGCCGCGCCTGCGGCGATTGCAACGACGGCGTCGACGGCGGCGGCGGCGGCGGTGACGGCGGTGGAAGCAACGGTGGATGGGAACGGAGTGGGGTATGGTGATGCTGAGGCGGAGATAGAGTTCGGGAACAGCGAAGGTGAAGGCGTTTCGTCACACGAAGACGCGGACATGCCTGATGCTGAGGCTGCTGCGACTGAGGCGCACGTTGCGACCGAGGCTGCGACTGCTGCGACGAGAGGAGATCCCGGATTGCTCCCGCACGGGATCGCGCAAATCGCACGGGTAGTCGCGCAGCAGGTTGCGCGCGAGGTCGCGGTGGTGCAGACGCTGGCGGGGGGCCTGTGCGACGGTTTGGGCGACGAGCTGGGCGACGGGGCGACGCTGGAGGTGGCGGTGCAGGGTCTGCTTCCGGATAGCTGCGCTTTGAACCAAGTGGCTGTGGTGCCCGTGGTGTGCATTCACGAGGGGCATGCGGACGACTCAGAGGACGTCCGTATGGGAGTGCTCGTTGAAAATCGCAATCACACCGCTGCTGCTCTCAGCCTTGCTGCTCCCAGTCACGCCGCCGCCACCGCCGCCGCCGTCGCTGCTGCTGCTGCAGCTTCTGTAGCTGCTGTGAATTGTAATGGTGGTGGTGGTGGTGGTGGTGGTGGCGGTGGTGGTGACGGTGGTGGAGGAGGTGCTGCTGTTCCGCACTACGAAGTGTCTGGTGACGAAGAGCCGGCCGTTTGTAACCCGGTTACCACCATGCTGGAGGGTCCGTGCGACGGAGTGTCTGGAGAGGCGTCGGATGATGCGGGCGGCAACCCGTCTGAGGTCACGGAGAGCCAGGAAACGCCGCAACTCGAGGTACGCGCGTGTTCTCGAATATTCGCGTGGTTGCTTGCTTGTGCGCTTGCGAACTTGGGGAACGAAAAATACGAATTGCGGGCTTGCTTGTTCGTTCCGTCCTCCGTAAACGTCGGTGTTCTTCCCGTCGGCGTCGTCGTTGACTTTAGCATTTGCGTTACCATCACCGTTGCCGCGGCCATTGTTTCCTGTCTGCGAATGGCTTCTGGCTCCGAGTTACATTTCCCTTCCGTTTCGTTTCAACGCGGACTCGTTGTCTGCTCAAACGCGCGCGCGCGCGCGTGCCCACTCGCTCCTCTGCCCGTCTCTTTCGTGTATGCATCATATACTTCTCCCCCCCCCTCGTCCCCCTATCCCATCGTCCCCTTCCCCTCCCGCTCCCCCCGTTTTCTCCGCTCTCCTCGCTGCGCGCGCATGATCCAGGAGCATGAGCAGGGTCTCTGCGAGTCTAAGCACGCTCACGGGTCGATTGAGGGCCCTCTCCTTGCCCCCGCAGAGCAGGTGCGCGCTTCTCTCCTTAGCGCCTCCCGGAGCTTGTCCGTCGTTCTAACACAAAAACTCGGGTTCTTCCATGTCGCATTTTGGCATTGCAACTTGATTTTCCCTTGTGCCGTCGTGCGTGGATTGGAGTTTAACGCGTGGGTTGCGCGCGTGGCTTGTGCAGGCGGCGGACGAATTGGCTCGTTCGGTGCAGGCGCAGGAGGAGGAGAACAAGCGGTTACGAGAGGTGAGAGTGGGTTCGGATGGCTTGATGGCATGACAGCATAATGGTATGTGAACATGGTGGCATGACGGCATGGCGCGGTGGTTTTTTTGTTTTATGAACAAAACGAGCCTGCCAGAACTCGGGAAATGATCAATTATTAAGTTGAGAGCGGATGCAGCTTGTTTGCGAGCAATCAACTAAAAAAGAAAAAGGAAATGTGCAGTTAAAGAAATTTCGCGTCGCTGAAATAGAAGCCAGATTTCGCGTAATCGATACCACTGCATTGGTTTCTGACGCGCATTGCTGTTAGCGTCCGGACCTGCGTATACCTAAAGCGTTTTAGTGCCGTGTCGATTGTCGTCGTTCTCTTATTCGCGTGGGGCAGGCGAGGCGAGTCATGAGACGTGGCTCACTGTTCGCGTCCACTCCCACAGTAGGTCATGTGTTGATCACTGTGCAAGTTGATTGACTGTGGTGTTCGCCTGTGCACTCTTCTCCCGTCCGCGTCACTGCGCAGGCGTTGGCAGCAGCGCGTGCCACGTGGAAGGCTGTGCAGGACGAGAACAGGCACCTGCTGCAACAGGTATGTCCGCTTGTCCTGTAGGAACTAAGGTTTTTTTTGTATTGCCCTGGTCTTTGGCTTTCCCTGGAGGAACGGAACAGAAAATGGATTAACTAGATAAGGAAAATAAAGAAACACCTTGGTGAGCTAGAAACCTGCACCAGGCCCCCCTTTTTTTTCTCTTTTTTTCTGACCTCCTTCTCAATCGCCTTTTTGCATCGCATGCCCTTGTTGTTCTCCCAACCAGATGACTCTCCATGGCCTTGAGCTGCCCGCATGCGTGACTGCCAAGGCGCATCATCTCAACAAATCTCCTCCGCCGCCTCAACAGCATCAACCACAGCAACTGCAACAGGACACTGCAGCGATTTCACCCTTCTCTCCTCCGCCCACCTCCGCCTCCTCCTCCGCAGCAGCAGCAGCTGCAGCAGCGGCGCCAGCAGCAGGGCGTTGCCCCCCCGCCCTCCCCCCGTTCCTCTCTCCGTTCGCCCCTCCCCCGCCCTGGGCATGCCATCCCGCCAGACTGCCCCTCCCGCCCTTCTTCCGCTCATCCGCGCTTCCCCTCCCCGCGCTCTTCCACAAGGGCCTCCCCGCAGGCCCCTGCGCCCCCGCCTGGTTCTCCCGCTCAGCCCCCCTCGCACCACTTGCTTGGGTGAATATTTCCCCCCCGCCTGCGCCCGTTCCTCTGCAATCCGCGAGTGCTGCCACCCCTGCCGCCCTTGCCACGACTGGCGTGACTGCTGCTACAGCTGCTGCTGCTGCTACGGCTCCAGGCGTGCAGGGCGCAACGGGTACAGGGCAGGGTTTGGTTGGTGGTGTGGTATTGCGTTCTGCTGCATCTGCTGCTGAGGCTGGTGCTGTCGCAGTTGCTGCTGCTGCTGGTGATGGTTGTGGGGGGAGTGTTGTGGATAGCGATGGGGGCAGTGCGGTTGCAGTGCGCACAGAAGCTGGTACTAGGGAAGCTGATAACGAGGAGAAGCAAGCCGTTTCCGCTGCTTCTGCTGGTGCTGCAGTTCCTGCAGTTACTGCAACGAATCAGACCCAGCTGCCACCAGCTGTTGCTGTTGTTCCTGAGGGCTCTTCAGGGGCTGCCCCCTCCTCTCCTGCTGCTATGTCAACCTCGGCAGCAGCAGCAGTATTATCTGCATCCGCTCCCGCTTCTGTCTGTGCATATGCGTCTTCTGCTGCTGCAGCTGTTAAGTCCGTGTCTACCCCCCTGACTTTCTCCTCATCCTCTGCTCCTTCACTCTCGGCGAGTTCTCTTCGGCCACTGTCTATGATTCCCCCCTCCTCGCTCTTCCTCCCCCCAACTCCCTTTCACCACCACCACCGCCACCAGCAGCAGCAGCAGCCACTGCTGCCAGTGCAGCAGCAGCCGCTGTCACAGCAGCAGCAGCAGCAGCAACTGCCGTCGCCCTTCCCCTTTTACTTCCCACCCTCCTTCTTCTCTGTTCCCCCCCACGTGCACCCTTCCGCGCTGCCTCGTCGCACCTCCCCTCCCACTGGCGCTGCCTCTGCTGCCGCCACTGCCTCTGCCGGCACAAAACTCAGCCATGATGTGAATAAGCAACAGCCTCGCCGTGCTACCCTAAGGCCCTCCCCTCCCAGTAGCTTCCCTGCCGCTGGTGCCACAGGAGGTCGCTCTGGGGGTGGTGGTACAGACGTTGCTGCGCAAGCTGCGTCTGCTGCTGCCGCCGGATCTTCTCTCTTGAGCGGTGCTGCTGGTGCTGGGAAGGAAGGAGTGGAAAACAGCAGCTTAGGCGCCTCAGGAGGTGCAGGCGGTTCAGACGGCTCAGGGGGTACTGCATTTGGAGGGGGCGGTTGTGGAAGTGGCGGGGTATCGTCAGGAGCAGCAGGAGGGGGTGGTGGTAGCAGTGGTGGCAGCGCTGGTGGTGCTAATGGGGTTCCCCGAGTTGCCAAGAAGGCTCAAAGCAGGCTGAAGGCTCGAGCACTGCAGTCCGCAGCAGCAGCAGGGGCGCAAGTAGCTGTAGCACCAGCAGGAGGGGCATCAGCTGCTGTAGCAGCACCGGCAGTTCTGGCCCCAAGGGGGGCGGTGGGTACTGCTGCTGCTTCTGCTGCTGCCGCCGCTGTTGCTGCTGCTGCTGTGTCGACTGCTGCTTCAGGTTCTAGTGCTGCGTTTGCTACTGGTGCTGGTACGTCCAGGCTTTTTCCTCACTTCCGTACCGGTTCCACTCTCCCTGGGGCATCGACCATAGGGCTCATGCCCCTGCCTCCTGGCTTCCCTGTGCCTCCGCCGTCTATCCTCGCTGCGGCTGCTCGCTCGCAGTTTCTGATCTCCAGGAGTCACATGCCCATTCCCTCTTCTCACCCGGGGCATCCTCATCCTCAACATCATCATCATCAGCAGCAGCACCATCAGCAGCAGCATCATGTGGCAACGCCGCCGTTCCATGCCGTGCCAGATGCCGCAGCTGCAGCAGCCTCTGCTGCTGCGGCGGCGGCGGCGGCAGCTGCTGCTGCTTCTCGGAGCCGCAACTCGGCGTTCAGTCTCCCCATCCGCCCCATTTCACGCAAGTCGGGGGTGTCGCCTTGCCCTCCCCCCACTCCGCGCCCCTCACCCCCAGCCGGCCCCTCCTCTGGTGCGTCAGGAGCATTGCTAGCAGCAGCAGCAGCCGGCGCTGCTGCCGCCGCTCCTGGCGCCACAGGTTGCAGCGTGGCCGCTGGTAAATTTGTCGATAATTCCGTACTCGAGAGTAACAACAGTTTCTTGGCAGTTTCAGCTGGTGCTGCTGGTACCAACAACAGGTCGTCGTCTTGGGAGAAAAGAGCATCCGGCTCATTGTCGCCGACTGCAGCAGCAGGTGGGTTATCAACAGGAGCAGCCTCTGCTGTGGAGGCTGTAAGATCGCCCCCGTCTTCCCCCGGTGCCATGGCTTCAAGTCCTGGTGGGAAGAAGCGGGCACGGGACGAGGGGGGAGACGATGTGGGACGGGTTCTGCAGCCCGCACAGTCCTTTTTTCCTGGTTCTGGGGTGTTTGCAACTGAAGTTCCAGCAGCAGCAACAGGAGGAGCAGCAGGGATAGCAACAGCAGCAGCAGGAGGAGCAGCAGCAGCAGCAGGAAGTTCAGGAGGCAGCAGTCAAGTCACGAGCCCACGGCCCTCTCCACCCCACACACCGGGCGAGAGCGCCACTAGAGCCAAGATCAAGACGGAATCCGCTTTCACACACGCCACAGCATTCCCTGTGCCTCCCCCGGTCCGTATCCCCGCCCCCATGCCCATCCCTGGTGTGCGTGTCCAGCCAGCGCCCATGCCTGAGCCGCTGGTGGTGCTGCTTCCAGGGGGAGTGCGAATGCCATGCCCCTGGCCTGCTCCTCTCCCCCGCCCTCCTATCATGCCGGTTTCGTCAGCAGTGGCCGGAGGAGTGGGATTGGGAGGAGTGGGAGGAGGATGTGTGATGGGGCCAGTGGCTGTGGGCATGGGAAGTGCAGCTGCAGAGGCGCGGAAGCGGAGGAGGGAGGTGAAGAGGAGCAAGGGCATGATGGGTCAGGCGATGGTGGCAGGTGCACAGTTTACTACCGGGGGTGCTGCTGCTGCTGGCGGTGGTGCTGCTACTGGTGGTGACGGCGTGGGTCCAGCAGCTGCTGGTGCTCCTATTGCTGCTGCTGCTGCTGCTGCTGCTGGAGTATTTGTTCAGGCGCCAGGGGAGGCGTTGAGGGGTCTCGGGCCAGCCACAGACGCTGCTTGCCGCTCTGCCCTGCTCTCTACCGCACCCACTTGTTAACTCTGAATGACTCAGCTTCTGCTGCCGCCACCGCTGCTGCTGCTTCTGCCTCGAGCCAGTTCACTCTCCAAGTGATAGTGTGGCTCTGTGATTCACAGTGGTTCTGTGTTGTGGCTTCAGTGCTACCCGGTGCTTCTCTGCTAGGCTGAGTGCTCCACGCTGCAGGCCTTGAACCTTCCTTTGGTTTCCCAGTTCCTCCCACGCTCGCTCTCCCGCTGTCACCCACCCGCCTTGACACACCACCCGCCCTCAACCCCTCGCCTGCTCCACCCTGCATTCACCCACCCACCCGCCTTCACCAACGCTGCAACTACACTGGCTGTTTGTCAGCGGAGTTGTCCGTGACACCTGCATCCTTACCGCATTCGTCGCCTGTCGAGCCGTTTCCGTGTCCCCGCATCCACCAGTCTGTCGAGCCGTTTCCGCGTCCCCGCTTTCACCAGTCTGACGAAGCCGGTTTCCTTTCTCCGCGCCTACGAGTCTTACCGGCGTCTGCTCAAATGTGTACATCCTGTGCATACTATATATGGTTGCACTGGTGCTGCTGCTGCTGCCACTGCCATTGCCGGCAATCATCCCTCGTCTGTTCCACATGTGCATATGGCATGTATCTGCTTCAAGGCTTTGACCTTGCATGGCTCAGCAGCAGCTTTGCATCTTTCCACTCTGTTTTCCCCGTTCATTCATACCAGTTCACCTGGCACGTGCAGCTGTGGCGCACTCACATGCACATCCGACACATGCCAGTCATAAGCCACACAGTGCACTTAAGTTTCTGGTTGCGTTGTTTTCATGCATGCCTTGACACGCGTCCAGCCCACTATACATAGACATGCAGCCATGCATCCTTCATGCTGCCGTGTTCAAGCATGTACATGCCTTGCGATGCCAGTATGTTTGGTTAAGTGTGCTAGACTTGACTCGAATATCAACCTTGAATGTGAGTGCTTTCTTTTCTTGCTTTTGTTTATTTTAGGGTTGGATCAGTCAGAAAAGTTTTGCTTTGTTTGTCATATTTCTCCTTGTTGACTGATTTCCTTCCATTAGAGCGTATCCCTATCCTCGTATCAAGAGAACCTCATATCAACCTCCCACGGAAAATTCCCCTAAACCCAAAACCTCTCGCTAGTTTTACCAGGATAGGATCTTGATACGAGGTTCTCTTGATACGAGGATAGGAATACGCTCCTAGACTTTAGCTGATAGGATTTCCTTATCACCCCGGATATAACTGCATGCCTAATAAAAGCGCATGCGCTTCTATCTGGAGCAATGCGCTTATGGCCGATCCTCAATTATAAGCGCACCCCCTTAAAAAACGTGATTTATAATAAGCGCATGTTAGTTTTAAATTTGACAAAATGTAAAATTACTGTAACGAAGCTCGCTTTAGCAAGCTGATGACTTGAAAATCAATTTTCCTTCGCATTCAAACCCTGCAGGCTGCGCGTCCAGTCAGCATGTGCTGTCAGTGTCAAGATAGCAAGCAGGAATGATTGCATTGAATGTATCGTAGGAACAAGTACTAACCCTAATATTGGGTTGTACCCCACATGGGCTACCCCACTATCGCCTACACACAACTAGCACAGATATGGTTTGACACACTCCCATAGGCAAAGTGTGGGAGAACAAGGGGTCACAAGACCAGTCAAGAAAAGCAAGGCAAGCTCAGGGTGGATCACAATGTCACCACACATTCCGAGCACAAGCAAAGGGCCACAAGGCCAGTTTACATGCAGAGGTATATATATATATATATATATATATATATATATATATATATATATATATATATATATATATATATATATATATATATATATATATATATATATATATATATATTACAGTACAACCAGAGTCTACAGGCACCAGGCCTAGAGCAGTGCAAAAGCGCTGATGATCACCAGTCGGAAGGGCCTTGGTGAACACATCAGTCGTGTTGGCCTGGGTGGGCACGTCAGCGACACGAAGCTGACCACGCTGCTGCAACTCTCGAGCAAGGAAGTAACGTAGAGCGATGTGCTTCGTTCTGTGCTCCACTATGTGGTCCTGACACAAGGCAATAGCAGCATTGTTGTCGACGTACAGAACTGGAGGAGAACGAGGCCTCTCTCCCAAGTCGCTCAGCAGGTAGGTGAGCCAACGTAGCTCCTGTGCAGCCATGGCTGTGGCGTAGATCTCAGCCTCACAACTGGAGCTGAGAGAAGACGAACGTGTAGACCGCCAAGAAACAGAGCCAGAGCCAAGGCTGAACGTGTAACCCAATGACGACCGCTGCGCAGCCAGGTCGTCAACCCAAGAAGCGTCTGAGTGCCCAGTGAGGACAACTGAGCTCCGCCCTGCAATCACGAGCCCCATGCCCGATGTACTGCACAAGTAGCGCAGTACCCTCTTCGCAGCATCCATGTGCACCTTTCGGTGCCTACCAGGAGCCACGTAGCGTGCCAGAAGGCCAAGAGGGTACACGAGGTCAGGACGAGTGCAGGTCATCAGGTACATGAGGCAGCCCACTAGCTCTGGGTACGGGCCACTCGGCTCTACGGACTCGTCCGAAGGTGGAGCTGAGAGCGAGTGACCGGTAGCCAGAGGAGTGGACTGTGGCGAGGACCAAGTGAAGCCGAAGCGCCGAAGGACCTGCTGCACCATGTGTGACTGAGTCAGTGTGATGGTGCGGCGTGCTCTGTCCCGGGTGATCTGCAGGCCAAGGTAGCTTCGCAGCTCACCCAGGTCTGTGCACGTGTGTCTCTTCTGCAGCTCCGACTTCACAAGGGCGAGAGCCTCAGTGTCAGCAGTGGCAAAGACCAAGTCGTCGACGTACACGAGGATGTAGAACGGCGGCAACAAAGTGTCGGTGCGCAGAAATAGCGACGGGTCAGCAGTCGAAAGAGCAAACCCAAGAGCTGCAAGTGTCGTCCTCAATGTGTCGTGCCATTCGCGAGGCGCTTGACGGAGACCGTAGACTGGCCGGCGGAGGCTCCACTGGGTACCAGGAGGGAACGACCCAGTAAAGCCAGGTGGGCGACGCAGCCAGATCTCCTCGTGCAGACTGCCCTGTAAGAACGTTGTGCTGAAGTCCAGGGAGTGAAGCTCGTAGTCACGCTGAGCGGGAACGTGGAGCAGAACCCGCAGAGTGGTCATCTTCGGGGTGGGGGAGAAGGTCTGGAAGATGTCAACTCCGTGTCGCTGATTGAAGCCTCGTGCAACGTAACGAGCCTTGAAGACAGGCGGAGAACCAGGCGGCCGCTTCACCCTGAAAATCCACATGCCATCGACTACGTTCGCCCCAGGAGGGGGAACTGCGTCGACGTAATTGCCTGAGGACTTCCAGGATGCCATCTCTGCGTCCATGGCTGTCTGCCACTGAGAGGAGTACTCACCCGCGAACGCCTCAGCGTAAGAGTGAGGGGTCGGGATGTTTGGAGCATCCGGGTCTCCCTCAGGGGCAAGCAGCATGGCCACGAGATGAGGCGCAGCGGCTGCAAGACACTCAAAGTCATCCTACCTGTCCTCAAGGACGTCCGTGCCAAGAGCACACTCACCCCCGACGGACGGAGGACAGACAGACTTAGACTCAGCAACAAGACTAGCAGCGTAGTCTAGACGACAGGTAGTAGCAAATTCAACAAGCTCAGAGACTAAGGTAGACGCAGCAGCAGACTCAAACGACGGGTCAGTGACAACAATGGCAAGGAGACGCGTGACAGTAGGGTGAGCAGCACGAACCAGGTCAGACACAGGGTCCTGAACGTGAGGCAGAGAAGACGCAGGAGGAGACGGTAGGGGAACACGCTGTGGAACAGAGGAAGGGCGAAGTGCCATAGCGTGCGTGCCAGGGACAGGAGGCGGACGCTTACGAGGAACACGACTACCAGTGCGACGCGCGCGAAGAGGCGAGGCAGGACGAGACGCAGGCTCACGACACTCTGTATGCGAGTTTGTCTGCTCAGTGTAAGGAGAAGGAGCAGGCAGTGGTGCGCTGAGCTGTAATGGGAGGCCAGTAGAAGACGGGAGGCTAAGAACCTGGCGAAGCACAGAGTCAGGCGATCACAGAGACGACGGTGACGGCGGAGCGAAAAACAGTCGCGGCGGTGCAGTGCCACCAGTACCAGTAGGTCCAGCGCCTCTAGCAGCTCCAGAAACTTCAGCAGGAGCACCTCCAGCTCCAGTGACTCCAGTAGCAGCACCTCCAGCTCCAGCGCCTCCAGCAGCTCCAAAACCTCCAGCTCCAGCGCCTCCAGCAGCAGCACCTCCAGCAGCAGCACCTCCAGCTCCAGTGACTCTAGCAGCAGCACCTCCAGCTCCAGCTCCTCCAGCAGCTCTAGAACCTCCAGCTCCAGCGCCACAAGTAGAAACACCCCCAGAACCGGCACCTCCAGCCCTAGGGTCCCCAACTCCAGAGTCGAGAGTACCAGCTCCAGGGCCTCCAGCAGCAGCACCCCCAGAATTGGCACCTCCAGCCCCAGTACCTCCAGCATCAGCACCCTCAGAGCTGACACCTCCAGCTCCAGGAGCAATACCAGTCCCGGCAGCTCCAGTACCTCCAGTATGAGCACCTCCAGGACCAAAGACACCAGCACTCCCAGCGCCTCCACGACAAGCAGCTCCAGCAGCACGACTCCTCACGCGTATGAGGATCTAGGATTGAGCTCAGAAAAGAGAATGTGAATTGAATTGAATTGAATGATCACCTGGGTATAACACGAGGCTATATATAGGCTCGACACAAGGCCCTGTAACTAGGTGTTACGCGAAGGTTCCGCGGGTCGCGAAGCGTCCCGAACAGATCCTTCCCGAATTCGGTAGAAGGCAATTCGGTGGCAATCGAAAAGCCCAGAATTCGGTGCACACAACCTAGCTCGGTGCTATAACTATAATAAAATATAGGAAAGCACCTAGCCTAGGAAATCAAGCAATTTATGCATGCATATAATTATCCTATGCTAGAAATAGCATAATAAAGTAAAGGCAAGCAAGCATAGCTGGCATAAGCCGTC